GTATCCTGTATCCTGTATCATGTACCCTGTATCATGTATCCAGTATCCAGTATCATGCACCTAGTATCATGTACCCAGTATTTAGTTTGTATATATGTATGAAGCCAATTTTTTACAGATTGATTCTTGCTGAAGAAGTTTAAACCCTCTTACATGAACTGAACACAAAAGACAATGAATGAAAAATTGAATTTTAATGTTTTTTTTTTCAAAAATGGGATTTTTTTCGAAAATTGTGCTGATTGTACAGATTTTTTAAAAAAATGTACGGATTTTTAAAAAAATGTACGGATTGGTTTAAAAAAATGTACGGATTGTACGGATTTAAAAAAAAAAAATTGTACGGATTGTACGGATTGTTTTTCGAAAATTGTACGGATTTCTTCTGAAAATGTACGGATTTTTGTACGGATGGGTTCAAAAAAGTTTTGGCCACCCTGATTAATTCACATGAAGTGAGTAAGAATGATAAAGTACGCAATAGTTTCATAAAAATCATTGATTTCAAAATCGTTTTTCAAGTAATAAATGTAATTACAAAATAGTAAGTTAGAGCTTAAAATTATACATAAGATTAGTTGGTAGGAAAAACAATTGATTTGATTTGAAATACTACTTTTAGACTGATACTTTTTAACTCGGAGTTAATGGGACTGTAGACTTAATTAAAAGTGACACCCTATTTACAGATTAACAGCAGTATCATTTAAACCTGATCATCGAGTTATGACTATTTTTTTTAAATTTAATTATTTAAAAGTGCCTTGCGGATTTATTTATTAAGAAGGGGTGAAAATATTTGTCCGAATTTAACACTTTTCCAAGTAGAAATATTATTTCCTCATTGTTGCTCCGAAGAAGGTTTAAGTGGTATCGTTGTCAATCTGACATTCCACACTATAGTTTGAGGGTAATTACGCCAATATACCCTTAAGTACAGAGCTGGGAACTTTTGAGTGATGGATACCGGGATTAATTCTTCATCCGCTCTTTTTCATAATCTCCAGATTAAATAATGCTTGTTCTCGTCTTGTTATTAATTTCCAGAGCTGGGAACTTATGAATGGTGGACATCGGATTAATGCTTAATCCACTCTTTTTATAATCTTGAGATTAAATAACGCGTGTTCTCCTCTTGTCATTAATCTCCAGATTAATTAACTGATCTGGGTTGAGGATATTCTATTCAAAAGTTTTCAGTTTAGATTTATTTTGTAACTGACGAAAGCGTAGGCGTAGACTATTGATTAAGTACTCCTGACTAACTGCTTGATATGGTTGTTGTAGGTGGTGAAGGAGGAGGTGGTGGAGTCCACTATCTCCTTGAACGAGGATTCCACCATGGTAGAGATGACTCTCCCCAGTCTTAATTCATTACCGAGCATAACAACATTACCACACGTAAGAATAGATTAATATTTAGTATTTCAATAATTAACTATTAAGGTCGGATTTGATTGAACTAGATATAGGTAGTTAAACAACTTCTCCAGTAATCATCAAGTCATACTATAGAATTAGTTCCACTTTCCCTACCTAGTCCCAACTATTTGCTATCAATTATTTCTATTCGTTCAAGTTTAATATTTTGGTAGAAAGTAGTCCCACACTCAAAACGGCAAAACTGTGTCTGGCCAAACGCTTTTCCATGCTAGTTGAAAGCATTCCTTGGAATTTCTGCCGAGCAGATATTTTATTTAAAATAATACATCCTTCAAATCATAGCTTCTGGCCCTAAACTTAATTAGCAATCATTAATACGATTAAAATATGAATAAGAAATAATAATTTTATGTCTACACATGAATCTTTATTAGTATTTCAGTGTCTGTACTGTGTACAGTGTACACTTCTTAGTAATTACGCCCTAAAAATGCCATTTAATCACGTCTTTAGATCCAGATATTTATATAAATATTCTAGATAGCGATATACACATATTTATTCTCGATATCGATATATATACATATCCTAGATACCGATATTAATATATGTTCTAGATCCGATATATATATATATATTCATAAATATATATATAGATATATACATATATATATGCGTATATTTATATATTCTAGATACCGATGAGTTTGGGAAATATTTCTCTCCCAACAGTACCGGTTAGTTTCACGCTAACTACAACGGTAAGCATATTACTTCTTCATAATTCAGATATTTTATTGCCCCCAGCCCACCCGGCCACCCACTTGTCATCTATCTAAAAAAAGTGGGATGATATTTTAATATATAGAACTCTAGCTGAAGGGCCCCCCCCCCCATATTAACATTTTGTTGATTATAAATCTTTTTTTGTTGTTAAAAGGCGATATGAAATAAGGAAAATTCCTGTTAATTCATGTAAGTAGTTTTAGTTTTATATAGTTATTCATGTTCTATTGCAGGGTAATGCCGGAAGTATGGCTCTGCTTCCTCAGGTTCCTGTCAGCATCTCACACCTTGACAACATCACCAAGCTACCAGTTGTCAGCACCATCCAGCATCTTGAGCTGTCACAGCTCCCTGTTGTCAGCGGTATGGGGAAGCTGACAAGTTTGAACCACTTGGGGAACCCAGCAACCATCTTATCTACAGATACTATCGAGCTTCCTAATATAGGTACAAATAGCTAGTGCCCGGCGTTGCCCGTAGAATTTTTAAAATACTAATTTGAACTATATACACAAGGGGGAAAACCAAGACCCCCCCTCCCCTCCTTAGGGAGGAGTGATTTTTAATGATTTGTGAGGGAAATTCGAAAACAGACATCAAGGCAACTTTTTCATTCTTTTTGATACTTTTTATCAATAAATTCAAGAAAGAATGATTTTTCATGAAAATATACTTCCCTAAAGGGGCTCGCGAAGTTTCGATTAAAAGAAGGGGCCAAACGAATAAGTATTATTACATGGAGATATCCTTTAGATTATCCTAGACAAATAAGATTGAAAAATTAACACGTTTGTTGTCAGGACCCCCACAGACATCTCCTGTAAACCTGGAGCTGGCAGGAGGAGGAGAACTAGGAGAAGAAGGCGAGGTGGAAGGAGGGGATGTGGGAGGAAGCATGACACCGACAAGTGATGTATCTGGAACCGAACATCAGGTAGAAAAAATGAAATAATTAATAAAATTAAGATAAATCTAAAATTACATTTATTTTAAAGGATTTTGATTAATGTTTCAATTTTTCAGGATCATATTTCCAACTCTCCTCCACAATCCAGTCCGGTCAACTTGGCGCAGTCGCAATCAGCTGACCATTAGGAGATCAACTGACTCAAGCAGGTTTGAGGATTTACACTTCAACACATTTTTAGTCAAGTGATAAATGATAAATCCAACAATAATCTGTATTCTTTTCAGGCCTGAAATGGAAGAAACCTCGCATTTGGAGGCAGATACAACGTCATCTTAAGACACTTAAAAAGTGACCCCTGACCGACCTCCTATTTTATTCTACCGCAAGGCCTGTTAGAGCAGCTGACGCGAGAAAATCCGCGAAATATTTGTCTGGGGAAAAATTAATCTGGGGGATTTGATGTGAATACGTGATGTACAGAAAATGGACAGTTTTTAAATTTGTCACAAAACAGACCTTGGTCAATCAAATGATGTTTTTATTTTCAAAGCCCAAGTGTGTCTCGAGAAACTTTTTCTGTTTTCTTAACGTTTTTTCCTGCAGGCTGCAACCAGTGGTTTAACCATATCTGAAATTGATCAGAAATCCTCCAGAAGTTAATTTTGTAAAACCGGGTTCTCGTGACACCCTTTGAGGCCTTGTTTACGTCCTGTGTGTAATCTGCAGTGCAGTGTTCCGTATGATGTATGTTTGTACATGTGTACTTTTTATGTAAACGGACCTATTAGCGTGTACTGTGTACATGTGTTTTATGGCGTTTTTTCTTTCAAATTTTTGTTAAATCCTTTAAAAATTAGGCTTAAATTTAATTGTTCGGTTCTTCTTTAGAATTGGCTTTATTAAAAGTTTGCTCCGAAATCGTTTTATATAATTTTAATCAAATATATTAACTTTTTGTTTATGTTCACATGAGTACACGTGTACGGGGTTCTAATGTACTGTATTTAGTTTTGAATGAATGAATATTTTGCTTGAAATATAAGTTCTGGTTTTATACTTGTAACCAGCGAGAGAAAATAAGTTAGTTTACCACCAATTTATCAGTCAGTTTATCTGGAATAGTAATGGTTATTCCTACTTCAGAAGTTGCAGTACAGTTTATTTGTGAACAAAGCTATGGGGTTACCGGTAAATGTTAAATACTATTTGCAGGTTATTTCTTCAAAAAAATCCATTACTCGAATTTACTTTACTTTGAAACCAATTTTACTATAAATTATATAATTGTTATGTAATAAATTTTTGGTATCAAAGAACTAAACAAAGCATGGAAGGCGACATGTAAAACTTTTCACTGTCATGTTTCGTGGGACACGCTGAATAATTATTTTATGTCAAGAATCTTAATTGTAAAATGTCGCAAAAAATCTTGAAAATCTTACCCCGATGGTTTTCTGAAATTATGTTGGAAAACATGAAGCGGAGTTAACAAAATCCGTTGTAACGTTTTTTTAAGCGGTATTTACGGCGAGAAGGGCACATTTTTCTAACGTAAATCACTTCAGATCGAAAACGCTAGAAGTTTAGATTTAACATAGAAGCTCATCTAAAATTTGTCATCCATTCTTTTACACTACTGTGTTATTGTCGTTTTGTACATTTTCAGATGGTTTTATAACCAAGTACAACGATTACCAGAGAACTAGAATAGGAAGACGACATGAAAGCAATAATGAAATTCATTTGATGTTGTTACAGAGCTAATATCTATACTGTAAAGTAAAATGGGTCTGTTTACACTGCACAATTGTTGTGCCTCATGTTATTTTCTATTTTAAATCATAACTTGAGTCTTAAAGGGAGTGTTCGCGAAAAATGAAAGGGGGTGGCTTAATGCGATAAAAAAGCTCTTTTGATCGCTACTAATCTTACTTCTATCTGTAGCGTCTATAAGGAGAAAATTGTTAAAGACGTCTCATACCGAATAAAATGGCTTCCATACAAATTGAGAAAATTGCAACATACGACTTAGACCGTAAAAAAATCAATTTAATTTTAAACAAATCATTCAGATATTACAACCTATAGTCATCGATTATCTTTCGCCACATTTGTATATAGTTTATATTTTATAATATTTTTGATTTCATTTTTTTAAAGATATTTCTCTGGCGCTGGATTTTCGAACATTCCTGGAAAATATGAAAATGTCGTCTTCATTATCAAAAATCCTCGAAACAGGAATACAAGTAACTATCATATCATAAAAATAGAAAATATTATGAAATATCAACTAAATACGAATGCGTCGAAAAATTATCGATGATTATCGGTTATAATATCTGAATGATTTGTTTGGAATCAAATTGATTTTTTTACGATCCGAGTTATATATGTTGCAACTTTCTGCATTTGTATTGATGTTACGTTCTTGCATTGACGTTATTGGACAAAGTCTACCATACCACTATAAACATGCTCTCAATCTTTAATTTAATGATCTAGAGTTAATCTTTGGTGGTCAGTTTTTGGTAAAGAAATAAACAGATATTGAATAATTGAAAACACTACATTAAGAATTATCAATTAAAGACGCCATCTTTTGTTGTGTTCATGTATCGCTTTCCCATCTGATGGGAGAAACGTGATACCAAGCAGGGTTGGGGCGGGGGGACATTCGCCACCCCCTGAAAGATTCAGGGAGGGGCGTAGCCCCCCCCCTGAATTTGGAATTTTTTGTTCCTATTTTCTGAATAGCTTCTCAATAGCATGCTTAAGGGAAAGAAACCCTAGTGGAAAAACAGGAAAAATATCTGTCTTAATAAACTATAATGTGTGAAAATTTAAAAATCTAGCTTTATAGTCTTAAATCACTAATTTTGACTCTTTTTGAGTCTTTTAAGTAAAAAAAATCTTGCCCCCCCCCCTCACTTAAATCCTGTGTCCGCCCCTAATACCAAGTGACAGCTCTTCCATTAGTGGCATGTTCGAATGGCAAAGGGTATCATTTTAGGTTTTGTGCCTTCCAGTAACAAATGATCTATACAATTGTTCACTTACATAATAAATATTTATTTATTTTGGTGTCATTATAAAATTGACAATGGAGAAAGTTGTCAGAAGTATTGATCAGCTAATACAGGGGATATTAGTTCCAAAACTAACACTGCACCCATTTCTAACACTGCAAAGTTATCTTTCTCAAGAGTATATTTCTTTAAATCCAAGACGAGTAGAACAAAATTACACCGTATATTTAAATAAATGGCTAACACTATATATTGAAACAATAAATGTCAATTTTAAACTAATAATAAGGTATAAGAATTAGTTTTTGATGATTTTTTTATTTCATTTTCGAACATATCCCTATTTTGAAACAATTACCGGATTTCAGCTCATGTCGGGTTTTCGGAACATAGCCTGGTTTTGAAACAACTACCGGAATTCACATCAATGTCAATTTTCAAGTATTTACGCACTTACGTAACAAAACAAGATTGTTTGATAGGGTAAAATATTAACAAAATAGGAAACAAAAACAAAATGTTCTTTCATAATTTAAAAATCTTTACTGTATTTAAAAATCAGAATATTAATAACATTTGTTCTTACAAAATAAATCTAACTAGGAATGCGGGAAACTGTTAAAATGCTTGAAAATAAATCATCGATATTCTCTAATTTAACAGATAAAATTTGGAAACTTAATTCTAGAAATAATTCAGAAGTTAAATTAGTCCTTATAAGATAATTTTTGTTATTAGAGATTTATTTTGTAAGTTATGAAAGTGAGTTTTGTTTTGAATTGTGGATTATACTCAAAAACGGGAAAGTGTGTTTTGTCTCGAAAACGCGACATTGTTTAAAATTCAGGATATATTCCAAAATTGAAAACCTAAATTTGTCTTGAAAACGGTCAAGAGCTTTAATATAAAAAGAACTCCTATTATAATTTTGATTTTAAAAAAAGTTTAAAATTGGGAATTGTTGTCCTCGTCATGTTTAATAAAATGTTGGTTATGGTTTTTATTATCGACTTTTACTCTGGATATGGGCCGGGATCCCAAAAACCCAGTCTTTCAATTTGTGCCCATTTCTAACACTCAGTGTTAGACATGTGTCAAGTGTTAGTTTTGAAACTAATGTTCCCTGTATTAAGGATTTAAGGGGAATTTTGTGTGGGACCTCACGTGACTCCAGGGAAGGTTTATTTATGAATGATCAAAATTTTAAAAGTATTTTTTGTAAATTTTTTTAAATGCGCGAAAAATATTATGAAATCCGCAAACTTTTTGTTTTGTTTTTGTTTTATACCCTGCAAAGAGAAGATGCTCACAGATAAAGCCACAATAAAAAGGCGAGCGCCTGCCTAGTAACATAAACATTTCCATTAATAAAGCTCCAGTTGAAGCCTAAACGTTCTTCAAAACTTAACGCTAATTACCGCTAATTAAAGTCATTAAAGATAAATAAAAACTGCTGATAAATGTTTGCCAGTAAAATTACGAACATTAATACTCAAGCCGAATTTTTCATAAACTAGAATTTATTAAAATTAACTTTAGAAAATACATAAAAATAATATTTTAGGTTTAATGAGACTAAATTAAGTATAATTATGTTTCTTATTCATGTGCCCCTTTAATTTATCCTTCCTTGTTGCTGTATAATCACATAAATCACATTTAAATCGTAAACCTTGGTGCTTGCTTTGTTTATGTCGTTTTAGAAACGATATTCGAGTAGCAGAGTAATCACACATATCACAGGGATATCTCACACCCTCATGCACGTTTAGTCTGTGCTCTTTTAAATAGAATTGTTTGGTTGTAGAATATTCACACTGATCACAGAGAAACTTGATTCCGTCGTGTTTAATCTGTTTGTGTTGCTTCAGATTTCCTCTAGACGTGGATACATGTGTACACTGATCACAGGGATGTTTCACATCTTCATGTTTGCTCTTCTTATGCTGTCTCAAGCCTGGCAAAATAATCGTGTAAGGGATTGTTTATGAAATCCTAAGACATGGAACTGAACAAGAAAAGAACTGAGTTCTTGTCAAAAACTCGCATTTCAAATAGACATTATGTTAGATCAAATAGTTTCTTTACAACAGCAGGTTGCAATTATATGAGGATTAGCAAATTTGAGTTTGTTGTGGCAAGAACTTAAACGATTTTTTGGATGGTTCGAGAATAACCAAGATTCCAATCAACCTTTACAATTCGAGTTCCGAACTTAAAACAATAATGGTGTTAATGGGTTTTCAAAAAAAATTAAATTTTACAAAAAAATGCCCGAAGTTTTGCCAAGTCAAAATTATTTTTCTTGAGTACAAACAAAAAACATGATGTACTTTTCTTTTAAATTTCAAATGTCAACGTGAGAGCTGTAGTAGCTGTGTTATGTACTCTACTTTAAAGGTAAAAGCTGAATGAAAAAATAAAAATGTCCCATTACCAACGGTATTCATTTGATCCTTAATATGAGTGAAATATGAAGAAGAAATCGTAGAAAAGTGTTCAATTCTAACAATTTTCTTTCTTTCTCTCCTCCTATATACAGGGTTACCGACAAAGGATGAGACTGTAAAGACGACCCAAAACTCTATAAATATGACGATTTAAAGCATGATGTTTGGCTTCCGCATCTAATTGCGTATTTTAATGTTTTATAAAAAGATTAGGCACAGAAATAAGCCAGTTTTAACCTACAATGAACCCTGAATGCAAGAAAACGGACTAAACAAATTGCGTAAAATTGTTTCTGAAGTCTTATCCTTTGTGGTATCCCTGTCAGTCTGCAAAACACGTTAAAGAACCAAAAAGGTTATCGTTTCGAATCGGATAAAAAAGACAGTCAGAAATATATAGACCAGGAACCATCTGTGTACTGTAGTGGGATGAGATCAAAACAAAGAATTAAGGGGCAACGCATAATTTTTGAGGGAAAAGGGCCCAAGGGATGGAATAAGAATATATTGCTATTGTATTTTCCATATTGACCAGAAAGCCAAAAATCATATGTATTCGCTCTAACTTGATATATTAACTTGTTTTTTTTGTTGGAATGTATTATCACATCAGAGCTTTAGTCCTTTCCCTTCAACTTCCGTGGGGGCACTGGGTTTGTTTACATTCCTCCCACAGTGTACAGTATATAATATGCGTAAATCTGAATTGGGCGTTCCTGTATATAGTTCCTTTGTTCCGTCTAATCAAATTTGACTTTTTTCGATTTAAAAAATGTCAAATTTATTGATAATTTTAAATACCTGTGAGAAATGTTGAAATATAATCACATTCATCGCAGAGAAATTTTTTTCCCTCATGTTTACTTTGCATGTGTACTTTTAGAGAGGATAGCTGGGGAGTAGAATATTCACACTGATCACATGGATACTTCTCTCCAATATGCTTACTTCTCATGTGATACCACAGATTACTTTTACTGTTTGCAATATGGTCACATTGATCACATGTCCGGGGATAATTGTTGGTTTCTACAGGTTTTAAGTGTTTTCTCTTCATGTGTAACTTTAATTTAAACTTGTTAGTTGCCACATGTTCACATTGGTCACAAGGAAACTCGTCATCAGGATCTGATTAATCAAAAACTATTAGAATCGTAAAAAATAAAATTTTTTATGCTTTACTGAAAACTAACTAAAGTTACCGGCGTTGTCCGTGGAATTTAAAAAAAAAACACAAAGACAAAAATGAGCGAAGAGCTTTTTTAAAGATGAAATGCAAATTTTAAAAATTTTCTAAAGGTAATAATTTTATTAAAAATTTTTGAAATAAATATTTAATTGTTTTTTGGAATAAAGATGATCAGGGGTGTATATTTTAAAAAGTATGATCCTCTCTTCCCAAAAATTAATTTTATTTCCCAATTTTCAGCGAATAAAACATAAATAACATCTGGGGAGAAATCTATCTAAAAGGGGGGAGAAATTTATCTAAGAGGGGGGAGAAATCTATAAAGAGGGGAGAGAAATCTATCTAAGAGGGGGGAGAAAATGATTTTCCAAAACGCATATCTTTGAACCTTAAATCCCCGCATGTCATAGAAACCGATATAACAGGATTTGCAGTGATCTAAAAAATAACCTTTATCTCGTTGATAATCTATCTCCTCTAATTCTATCCTGTGAGCATCTTCACTCTTCAAACACATTTCAGGACTAACTGGTCCTAAACAATAGTTTTATTTTTCTTCAGGCATAATTATTTCCCCCTCCCTTCTCCTTAATAATAATAACCCCACCTACTTTTTTCCAACATTTCTGGAAAATAAATTATATTTGGAGAGAAAATGTAAGTTTAAATCCCACTCTTTTTACTTCAAAGTTTAGAGAAATAAAATTCAAAATATCTTTGAACATACTCGAGTTTTAATACCGAAAGAATAATAATATAAGATTTCCTCAATTTAAAACGAAAAAAATTCCCCAGAGCATAATCCCCCTCCCCACACTCTACTAAACCTTTTCTCAATCTGATTTGTGAAAAGCTACCGAAGCTCAGGGATTGATAAATATGTTTGACCGTCTCCAGGTTGGTTTCTCGACCATAGAGAAGGTTTAGAAGTTCTCCAACTTCTCCAGGTTGGAAGTTAGGTAGGATAACAATATCTTCCTCACTCGCCTAAATACACAGAATACACAAAATACACAGATTACATAGATTACATAGATTATGATTACAAAGGTTACAAAGATGAAATTAGACAGATTACACAGATAATGTAGATTACACAATACACATGGTTACCTATAGACAGAATACATAGAAAGAATAAATGATTTTTGAAGATTTAGGGATGAGGGGGAGGGGTATACAGATAGGATAAGACAGATTACACAGATAGATTAAGACAGATTATACAAATAGAAAAAGACAGATAATACAGATAGATTAAGACAGTTTATACAGATAGAATAAGACAGATTACACAGATAGAATAAGACAGATCAAATAGATAGAATAAGACAGATTACACAGATAGATTAAGACAGATTATACAAATATAATATGACAGATTATACAGATAGAATAAGACAGATTATACAGATATAATAAGACAGATTATACAGATAGAATAAGACAGATTAGACTGAAAGAATAAGACAGATTATACAGATAGAGTAAGACAGATTATACAGATAGAATGAGACAGATTACACAGAAAGAATAAGACAGATTATACAAATAGAATAAGACAGATTATACAAATAGAATAAGACAGATTATACAGATATGATAAGACAGATTACACAGATATAATAAGACAGATTATACAGATAGTATAAGACAGATTATACAGATAGAATAAAACAGATTATACAGATAGAATAAGACAGATTACAAAGAAAGAATAAGACAGATTAAACAGATAGAATAAGACAGATTATACAGATAGAATAAGACAGATTACACAGAAATAATAAGACAGATTATACAGATATAATAAGACAGATTATACAGACAGAGTAATACAGATTATACAGATAGAATAAGACAGATTACACAGAAAGAATAAGACAGACTACACAGATAGAATAAGACAGATTACACAGATAGAATAAGACAGATTATACAGATAGAATAAGACAGATTATACAGATAGAATAAGACAGATTATACAGATAGAATAAGACAGATTAGACAGAAAGAATAAGACAGATTATACAGATATAAGAAGACAGATTATACAGATAGAGTAATTCAGATTATACAGATAGAATAAGACAGATTACACAGAAAGAATAAGACAGATTACACAGATAGAATAAGACAGATTATACAGATGGAATAAGACAGATTACACAGATAGATTAAGACAGATTATATAAATAGAAAAAGGCAAATAACACAAATAGATTAAGACAGATTATACAGATAGAATAAGACAGATTACACAGAAAGAATTAGACAGGTCACACGGATTAAAGACACATTACACAGTTCTAATGAGACGGATTAAAGAATCTGAAACGGGAGGGGGGGGGGGGTACCGTACCCTGCCCCCTGATATACTGTGTAAAAAATCCTACCAGTAAAAGGGATTTCAAGAAACCACTTCCTGCGGCCAGCAACAACCTAAGTTATAAATACTATTAAATTTATTAAACAAAAAAATAGTAAAACCCCTCAAATTTAGTGAAAATAATATTAAATTTAGTTACCAGCAAATTTAGTAGAACTGTTTTGAATTAAGTAAAAAATACTTTCAAATTAACTAAAAATACCGTCCAATTTACTAAAAATATCTTCAAATTTTGTGAAAACCATCATATTTAGTAAATACCATCAATATTAGTGAAAATATCATCAAATTTAGTATAAATACCATCAAATTTAGTAAATATACCGTCAAATTTAGTAAAAATACTATCAAATTTCGTAATACTTTCAAATTTTATCAAATTATTATCCAAATTACATCAAATTTAGTAAAATAAAAACGTCAAATTTAGTAAAATATCATCAAATTTAGTAAAAACCATCAGATTTGGTAAATACTATCAAATTTAGTAAAAATACCATCAAATTTAGTAAAAACTGACACGTGTATGTAAAACAGACCCATGTTCATGTAAAACTGATATGTGTGTGTAAAATTGATCCATGTGCATGTAAAACTGACTTGTTTGTGTAAAACTGACCTTTTCATGTAATACTGAACTATGCGTGAAAACTGACCTGTGAGTAGAAATCTGACCTGTGCGTGTAAAACTGACCTGTGCGTGTAAAACTGACCTATGCGTGTAAAACTAACCTGTGGATGTAATACTGACCTGTTCGTGTGTACCATGACACTGATGCATGTAAAACTGACCTGTGAGTGTAAAACTGACCTGTGAATGTAAAACTGACCTGTGCATGTAAAATTGACCTGTGCGTGTAAAACAGACCTGCAGTGCATGTAAAATTGACCTGTGCATGTAAAACTGACCTGTGCATGTAAAACTGACCTGTGCGTGTAAAACTGTGCTCCCTGACAAATAATACGAAGATCACACAAACCGTAATCATCTACACACAGTTCATCAACACGACGCAGCAGCATTTCTATTCTCTAAATCTGAAATTTTTATCCTTTAATTTGCTCACTTTCTTTGGAAATTTCCTAGAAAAGGATTTTTGGACCCCCCCCCCCCCTTCATAAAAATGTACAATATAGTCAAAGTATGAATTGTGGTCGCAGCGCCTGGCCCCCTAGTTTGTTCTAGCCGCGGTGATCGGTCCCCTAGCCTGTCATAGCCGCAGCACTCGGCCTCTAACCTGTCAATATAGCTGAAGCGCTCGGCCCCTAACCTATCCTAGCCGCGCGGTGTTCGGCCCAGAAATTGTCTTAACCTAACCTAGACCCAGGAATAATTTAGGTAATTTTTGGGCCGAGCGCTGCGGGTATGTCAAGCTAGGGGGGTCGTGCGCTGTGGCTAGGACAGGCTAATTAGGAGCCGAGCGTCGCGGCTAGGGGGGCGAACGCTGCGGCCGCATGACCAATTAATTAAGATCGACGCGATATCCATGTACAATTACAAAATTGATAGGAGGGCGGGAAGGGGGCGGGGGGGGGTCCAGTATTCATATTCTAGGAATTTGAAAGTTAAAACTTAATTTTCAATCGACTTATAATATTCCTAGTCCAATTACGTTGATTCATATAAAATGGAAGTAGATATAGCTCCTTTGCATTTTATTTATTTTTATTTAGGTACAGAATTGAGCAAATGCCGCGAAATATTAAAAATTAAAAATGGAAAATATTAAATCGGTGTCTTATCAATTGGACTAGTGATCGATTGAACTAACGTTCATTTGGATTAATGTGCGGATCGTTCTAAAGGACTTGAAGTCCTTAATTGAACAATTATATAAATAATTGTTTAATCATACTAATTTTTAATTGTTAATTCAGTATCTAAACTTAACCCTTTAGTTGCTTATCTTGTCATATTTGTGTATAACGGGGGGGGGGGGTCCATGTTGCACTTGTTTCCTTAAAGTTTGACTCGATCATCTTAAATACAAGGCAGAGGGAGCTGAGGCGCCTTATTTTATAATCTTTTTAGCGGTGCACTAAAGCAACTTAGTTAGAAAAGACACCACTAGGAGTCACTATGCAGTGAAGTCATGAATCTCATAAATTTGCTGTGTTTGTGTGCTCATACAAGGGTACATGTTGATTGATCATTTCATATTTCCCCAGTTTATTTAAGATTAAATTACTAAAATTGGTCTATTAAAAAATGATGAAAAACAGTATGCTCATAATTTCTTTTTAAAACCAGTAGGCCAATTTCAACATCATCTGTAAGCTCGTTCCATCGTGTGTCCCGTAAACCGTTCGTCAATTTTATCTGTATATCCTAGAGGGTTAACTTCCAAGCAAAAGAGTATGTTCATACTCTCCACTTTAAGTCTGGGACTAAAGCTGTCGCCTGCGTGTATTATCAAAATATTATTAATTAAAGCGCAACATATTATTCATTAAAGTACCAAGCTGCACAGTGTAAACCATGCCATACACAAGTTATTTAAAACAACCATGCGTGTACAACAAACTGTATAAAAATAATAAGATAGAATCTACACATGTAGGATGGAGAGAAAATTATATATGTACTATATCTGGGGAAAAGTGTCTGCTTTGTAGTATTTATAATTTACTGTATCTTGTATATCTTGTAGTATTTATATCATTCAAATTTAATTTGTATGTGTAAGAAAATAAACTTAAAGATCGACTGTGGTCGGAGTCCAGGCCCAAGGGGCGTATAATAAGGGTTTTTAGGGGGGGGGGGTACAGTTCTAACGTTTTGCGCCGATTTTTTTTCATATCCCCCCCCCCTAGACTGCATGTACAACCCCATCATGGCCTTTACCACCTTTCAGCTTTCACCTTTCTCATTGCTCCATCAAGACTACCAGTCTCCTGATAATGCTCCTAATCATGATTTAAGACTACCATATTTACTAGTCTCCTGTTTATGTATCTATCAAGACTACCATTTTTACTAGTCTCCTGTTTATGTATCTATAAGACTACCATTTACTAGTCTCCAGTTTATGTATCTGTCAAGTCTACCATATTTACTAGTCTCCTGTTTATGTATCTATCAAGACTACCATTTACTAGTCTCCTGTTTATCTATCTATCAAGACTACCATATTTACTAGTCTCCTGTTTATTTATCTATCAAGACTACCATATTTACTAGTCTCCTGTTTATGTATCTGTCAAGTCTACCATGTTTACTAGTCTCCTGTTTTTGTATCTATCAAGACTACCATTTACTAGTCTCCTGTTTATGTAAGTATCAAGACTACCATGTTTACTAGTCTCCTGTTTATGTATCTATCAAGATTACCATATTTACTAGTCTCCTGTTCATCTATCTATCAAGATTACCATATTTACTAGTCTCCTGTTTATATATCTATCAAGACTACCATGTTCACTAGTCTCCTGTTTATGTTATCTATCAAGACTACCATATTTACTAGTCTCCTGTTTATATATCTGTCAAGTCTACCATGTTTACAAGTCTCCTGTTTATATATCTATCAAGACTACCATATTTACTAGTCTCCTGTTTATGTATCTATCAAGACTACCATATTTACTAGTCTCCTGTTTATATATCTATCAAGATTACCATGTTTACTAGTCTCCTGTTTATATATCTATCAAGTCTACAATGTTTACTAGTCTCCTGTTTATGTATCTATCAAGAATACCATATTTACTAGTCTCCTGTTTATATATCTGTCAAGTCTACCTATTTACTAGTCTCCTGTTTATGTATCTATCAAGACTACCATATTTACTAGTCTCCTGTTTATATATCTATCAAGATTACCATATTTATAGTCTCCTGTTCATCTATCTATCAAGATTACCATATTTACTAGTCTCCTGTTTATATATCTATCAAGACTACCATGTTCACTAGTCTCCTGTTTATGTTTCTATCAAGATTACCATATCAATAGTCTCCTGTTTATCTATCTATCAAGACTACCATATTTACTAGTCTCCTGTTTATGTATCTATCAAGACTACCATATTTACTAGTCTCCTGTTTATATATCTGTCAAGTCTACCATGTTTACTAGTCTCCTGCTTATGTATCTATCAAGACTACCATTTACTAGTCTCCTATTTATGTATCTATCAAGATTGCCATATTTACTAGTCTCCTGTTTATATATCTGTCAAGTCTAACATGTTTACTAGTCTCCTGATTATATATCTGTCAAGACTACCATGTTTACTAGTCTCCTGCTTATATATCTATCAAGACTACCATATTTATAGTCTCCTGTTTATCTATCTATCAAGATTACCATATTTATAGTCTCTTGTTTATCTATCTATCAAGACTACCATATTTACTAGTCTCCTGTTTATATTCCTAATCAAGACTACCATATTTACTAGTCTCCTATTTATACATTTTCTAAAATTATTTAATAGTTACTTTCAGGGATCAAAATGAAAAAGAGTCATGATGGTTGTATGTTGTAAGAATTCCAGATCGGACATGGAATTGGGCCGGATTTTTCAAATACATTAAGGGGCACTTTTTTAAAGAAAGGGTAACAGAGTTATTTTAGGCAAAACTTCTTAATTTATTGAGCATATATTCTAAAACAATAAGGGGTAATTTTTAGATAGGGCTGAAAATTAGGCTGGTTAAGTATTTTTGAAATATTAGGAATATATAAAAAATTTAAATATTCTTGCTAAATATAAATATTTGTGGCATAAAAGCCTAAGGTAACAATTACACAGTAAGCACCCTCACATTCACTTTTCCTGAATATAACTATTATTTTCCAGCAGGACTCATGACTGTTAAAGATATTGCTTATAAAGTATAAAGACATTCAAAAACTTGTTGTTGGCACGAGTTCTTAATACTGCACAATTACAGTAACTCTAACCCATGACCGTCCTTCTTTGTGCTTGAAAGGAGTAATGATCAAAATAAAAATAAATTTTTGGTTTTGAAAATTATGCACTAAAATCCATTTTTGGGTGTGAAGCAGTATCTAGCGTTAAAATTTTGAACATAGCGTCAGATTTATGCAGTGGCTTTCTCAAAACCTGTTTTTGTAAAAATTTCGTAGATAAACATTTCGGACATTTATCTAAATACTTCATTATTAAATTTTAAATATGGTATTGTATTCACACATCACTCAGATTATTAATAACTTTTGTAATTTATTTCTAAAGTTTTCATTTGCATTTTCCCTTTCTTTCATACAACGTACTTTAATCCTGGCCCGGCTTTTCGCATGCAAAATTTAGCAGAAACACCTCAAAAAACCGGAACATTTTAACTAAATGAATTTTTTTTAAATACGGAAACGCCTCAAAATGATTCAGGAAACACCTCAACTAAATGAAGTTGCAAGAAATACGGAAACTCTTAATTTAAAAATTTGCGGAAACGTTTCAAAAAAGAAAAAGAAACACCTCAACTAAATGAAATTGAAAAAAATAATAAAAAAGGGTAAGAAAAATGTTTTTTTTTTGTTTTAAACAACTAGCAAAGTGGCTAAAGAGCAATGGGGGGACGAATTTAATTTATTTTATATATTTTTGCACAAACTATTGGTTACTGTTAGATTACATATTCTAAGTTTGAAATTTCAAAGATTTGGACTAAATCAGGTTGAAAAGATGAAGAGTTTAGAAAAATATGTTGCGAATACTCTGTTTCTTTATGTAAAATCTATGCTAACGGAATCTTCTAATGATTTTCTTGAACCTACTTTCCCATATCAGCTCTATATGTATAACTAGCTGAAGGGCCCGGCGTTGCCCGTGGAAAACAAATGTTGAAAAAAAAAAAATTTAAATTGCTGAAAAATTATTTTTGATTTTTTTAGCCCATAACACCCCCCGGCCACCCATGAGTGTCTTCAAAAAATGTTAGCCAAATCGGTCCAGCCTTTTGGCCGGCTATAGGAAACATATACGAATGTCTTGTTTTATTATATAGATAGATATTTGATTTTTATATACATATATATATATATATATTTTCTTCTTATATATCTATCTATCCA